TTTTACATTTTTGAGTCTATGGGAACGAATCACACTTATCTGCCCCCCAAAAAAGCTTGTGTACTTGTTCCCAGCGACAGGCTTTTTTTCTATGTGCGACGCTACACTGAGGGATCAGCAGGGGCTATAGAAATAAATGGGATTTCTTGTGTTTTGAGCTTTTCACTGCTGACAAATACGAGCCACAAATTACTATGGTGTGAACGGGGACTTAGCCAGCAGGGCCACATAGAAATCTGCCTCCTCTCCACAGCACCTGAAACGGCTTGTTAGAGTGCAGATCTTTAAGCTCATGAGTTTCACAGAGGGTGGTAAATTTGATGGTATAGTTTCAGCTGCATGGGTTTACACTTTGAGGAAATTACTTTCAAGTATGTCTCCTCAGAGCCTTCCCAGTCTTGAAAAATAAGTTGGGGTATCTGTGTCTGCCATTTTTCTCTAATAGAAATAATTTTTGTTTAGATTTAACAGAAATCAATGTTGCATAAAACTAGGGGATCAGTATAGTGTTGTCTGCTCAAAAGGAGTATGCTACAATTCTATCCCTAAGGCACCAAATGTGTAATAGTAGCATGGTGGAGTTGGAAGTACCATAAAAATGTATCTAGTGGTATCTTGCACTCTGCTTGTTAGATTTGAAAAATATTAAACCAACCATCTGTAAAATATTAAACCAACCATCTGTAAAATATTAAACCAACCATCTGTAGAGTTGATGGAGAAACTTCACTACCAGAGAGGCCCAATATTCAGCAAAAGGGAAAGGGATAAGCCCAGAGAGAAAGGGGTTTCTCCAAATTGCATTGTTGACCTGTGGTACAATTGGTGCATAAGGTTTATGTCCTTGAACAATTTACCTTCTTTGTGAGATAAAACAAGGACAACATTGTAGCCAGGATTTGGATACTTGGCCTAAGCTGACAATGCCGCATTTTAGTCCTCAAGTGCTCCCATGTGGGGGTTTCCTTTTCTGTTTCATGGGTTAGTTAGACAACTTGGGAGTCATTTTTCTTGACCGAAATTCTCGATTCTCTTTCTGCTTTGCATATATTGCCCTTGTGTCATTGAACTTGATGGAACACATGATAATGATCCAAACACATTAAAAATATGCTCCAGGGCAAGGTGACCATGTCTCATGAAAGGGTATCGTCCAACCCCCATATATTTACCTTACCTGCGTTCCCTCACGTCTCCATCCACCTCTACAGCCGGTGCTAAAATCAGCAAATCGGGGTAGCAGTGATGTCACTTCTCCAGTCAAGTGACGCTGCTCTTGTCTTGCAGTTGGCTAATAGGCCTGGGTACGCTCACAGGGGAGCAAATCACTTGCTCGTCCATACCCAGAAGTGTCAGGTATTGTAAATGTCTGCAGAAAAGCCAGAAGCTGTGAGGAGGAGCACAGGTCAGGTTGGGGGAAGCCTTTCTGGAGACTCATTCACCTTAAATCCCGAAGCGTTTGTCTTGTGCCAGTATTTAATATGTATTAAAGACTTTATACAAGCAAAATCCACTTATTGCTGTCTCACAAAGAGGCAGTCATCTTGTGAGCTGAACATAAGGATCTTTGTCCTTTTAAAAGTTAGGCTGCATTCTCTTCATTTTGTTTTTGGCAATACATATGTTGTATGCGTTCTAACAACATTTTTCTTCTTTGCTTTCTCCAACAGTCCTTGGCTTTTTCCAAGCAGTTAACACGTGCCCCTGAGAAAGAAAAGCTTCATGCTGTGAATAGGGAAGAGTGTGAGCGCCTCAAGGAGCGTTGGCTCTCAGAAGAGTGCATGAATGCAATTATCAGTTTTTTCCAGAAGAGAGTAAAATTGTAAATTTCCTTAATGGCTCACATTTTGAAATTTTACCTCCAATAAATATTAACAAAACTTGAACTTTGTTAATCATTGTTAATATATATGTGTAATTGCTAATTTATATTGAAAGATTGATCTATATGGAATATCCAATTTACCTTATAGCCGTTGTGGGCCAGTGCCAAGGGCAGTAAGGTAGAAGCTGGAACAACCAAATCACATTAACAATTTGAAGTTTTTTTTTCCCCATGTGTTCATACTCCTAGATGTTCCCACGTTCCAAACTGAAAGTGATCTAAGGGAGATACAGGACTCTCTGCAGGTATACAAATATGGATACATCGACTTTTTTCACTGCTGGCTACACAGTACACAGAACTGTTACTAAATACTAACCCCATTTCAGTGTCTGTGAATCATAGCAAATACCTCAAATCCAGTTTCTGAGTAAATGATATAAAGGGTTCATATTAGTTATAGCAGTCTGGATGAAAACAACTTAAGCATGGCAAACTGCATGCACATGACACTGGTTTGACTGTCACTGTTTATTTTTCACAGAGAATAATTGTAGAGCGCATTATTAGTTCTCGCGATTTAGGTTTTCATGCAATAGTTGATTATTCAATATGTATTTTCTATGCCTTCTTGGCGCATTATTATTAGTAACCACGGAGATTTCTGTTTTGAAATATGCTAATAAAATGCAATGTTTATAAAATATGAATTCCTCTTGGTTGCATGGTAACAACTAGATATACAGTAGGTAATAAAGGTTATAGGGGTATTAATAAGTGATCAGCCAACAGTTCCAGCACATTTTACTGTATGTGTTTGAGTGAGCCAGGAATGTTCCTTTTATAGCTGCCAGCTCTGTTTGGGTATTCTGACAGTGGCCTCTGGCCGCTGTCTTAATACAAAGGACACCGCAGGAGATTCCTCAATTAATAAGCGTTGATGGAAGAATCTGTTAGTCTCTTCATTCAGCCAGTGAACAAAGGAAAGAGAAGTGTTTATACCCGACTTAACTCCTGTTAAATATTAAAATAGCCTTGGTAATTTCTCTTATTTTAGGACAGTGGCACAGTGTCAAGAATAGCCCATCTAGCAACATCTTCTTCTTTTTTTTTTTTTTTTATAAATGGAAAATCAGACAGGAAAATGTTGCAGTAGTCCAGACAAGACATTGAGAACATGAACTAGAACTGACGGGTTTATGTCCTTGAAAGGGGGGCCCCTAAAGGGTCTGGAATGATTTGGAAGCAGAACCCCAAGTCAACTCAACTTGCAGGGATTCGAACCATGTGTGTTCTGCTCGGCTGTTTACTTCGGCTGCTGTATGAGCTGTTGAGAATAGCACGTACAGCAGCCGGTTTTTCTAGAAAGAGACTGGGTAACTCCCATTCAGCATAAACCTCAAAGTTCTCCTAAGTCCTCAGGCGCTTGCAGCAATCCTTGTATTTGAAGTTGCTGGTCAAACAGCAAGTCCGTGTCTTCAGCAATAGTATTAGCTCTTCCACATCAAGCATGGTTGCTCCATCTTCCAATGCAGCTTGGTTAGAGTAGTTACTAGGAAGGAGGAGACTGTTATTGTTATGTGCAAAAAATAAAAAAGCACTAAAACATGTTAATGGTCGCCATACAAAATAATGGGATTCTGGTTGTGCATTGTCACATGACAAATCACACAGGGGTGAGTGGGAACTAAGAGGTCAAAAGTTACCAAGAGCCTCGCAGTACAGTGTCACATACCTTGGTGGAGTCTGAGCTGATGAGGGTGGTCTTCTTTGCAGCTCCAGTCCCAGAGCCCCTGGATGGCAGAAGAGGTGCATGGGGACATGGAGAGGCACGAGTGCCGAATTATGTCACCGTGGCAGGAAAGGTCAATCTCTGCAAAGCCATTGGGGAATTTATCAAAACTGGGGCAGACTAAACCTTGAGCAGTTGCCCAGGGCAACCAATCAGCACCTCTCTTTAGCTTGTCCAGTTAAGATTTGAAAATGAAAGAGAGAAGCTGATTGGTTGCCAGCTGCTCCAGATTTTGATAAATTCCCCTCATTGAGTCCCTGGCAGGAAACAGGCACAAATGTGGAACACAACGGAGCAGAGTTCTAGAAGAGCTAGCCAGGTCATCAACAGGCGGGCAGAGCAATACCAGGTGACAAGCGGGAATGGAGTCAGTAACGTGCAGGCAACAAGGTGCAAAGCGGCAGGCAGGAGGGTGGTGGAGGAACAAGCCTGGGTCACAGGAACACACGGTAGCGAGAAGAGTGAATCAGGATACAGGATCTCGGAACACAAGAAGGCTGTCGACCACTCAGCATTGGAGGCTACAGCACTGCACCCAACAGTACTGAGCTAGCATTTGAAAACAAAGCACATTTTTGGCTCCCGCTTGTTCACCTTCTCAAAGCTAAAGAGCATGTGGCTGCTGTCATAGTACGGCACCCCCACACTTGCTGCCCTCTTGATAGTGTGATACCACTCTGTCCGGTGTGCTTGCTGGATTTTTTATTATTAAAACAAGAAAACTCATCTTTTACTTTTGGCAAGCTTAATGTAACTGACCTACCTGAAAATACTAAAATTGGATAAGGGCTCTGATGTCACTGTTACATTTACAAGGTAATATCTGTGTCAGTAAAGGCATTTTGTGCATACGGAGATTCATTTACTTTGTTGCTGTTTAGGAATATGTTTAAATAAAGTTGTTTTTGTTTTTTTTACAAAGTTAAATACATTGTTGCTACAGTGGAACTTTACACTCTTACCTGCATACAAACATTGTAACAAATGCATTATTGGGGATAAACAATTCTAAGCTAGCAAGGCGTGGACTTTCGGAAATACTGACCCTTGGCTGCTGCATGCACTAATTTGCTGATATTAACATGTGCATACATGCCTACATGAATAAGATGTTTGAGCCATACGACCTTACACAGTGATGTGGATCTTGTTAGTCCACAATTTTCTCTGGAAGAAAGGAATTCCTTGCTGCAATAAAAGAGACTTTATGGTTTGATTAAAAGAAGTAGTATTTGCTATTTAAAGAACAACTCTAGGAATTTTAAAACGTACCTTTTGCTGTGGGACTACCTGTGTACTGCAAGGGTTAAGTGCTCATTTTGTCTAGGAGGCTCAGATAAAGAATATATATTCTCCAGATCCTTGTTCCTGCAAGGGTCAGCGCTCACTTCTCCTCCATTCTGGCTGTGGAATGTCCCTTGGCCCCCTCATGTCTAATGCAAGTCAATGGAACTGCATTAGACGTGATGTCTAGCAGCCCAGTAGGACTGAGGATCAGGTGAGTATATCTTATGTATTTGAGCCCCTAGTTCAAAATGAGCACTTAACCCTTGTAGTGCAGGGGTAGCCCCACTGCAAGTATTCTGACTCCGATTGTTGTGATAGCGATGTATCCCTTGTTGAGACCTCTATGCCTGGCCTGTATAAGTAGATTCAATCACTGAAGACATTCATTGTCAGATAGCTGAACTCACCAATACCGTTTCATCCACAAAGGTTGCTTTATTCTGCACATGAAGACAACAGGATAACAGCGATGAATGGTTACAGTATTATGCGGTCAAAAGATTATGCCTTTCCTATGGTACTATGCAGAGTACATGTGTCCTGATTACATGTGGCTGTTAGCTGTGGCCATGACACAGGAAATACTGACCAACAAGAAGAAGGGTGGGGCTTACATACAGAGGAAATGTGTCATCACATGAGGAAAGGAATACAGAAAAAACAGGTGCAATATCACAAAAGGCCACTAGATGGCAGCATAAGAACTAACATATAAAATGGCCATAGGAAAATGATTAAGGGAAAAACACTATATAAATTCTATCTAACATTAAACTTCTATGCCCCATTGGGGCGGCACAGCAAGGGTAAGTTTATTTTACATTTCCAGAGTGCTTCTTTAAGGAAGTGTTATAACAGCAGTTACATGTATACAGTATATGGGTCTTTTTCTGTTTCGGATTACTGATCAGGATTTTAAACTGTCCATACACTGTCAGCTTTGTTTTCTTCAGCATGTGGGCTGAAAGAAAAAAAATCTAATGGATTCCTATATCCACATTAAAAAAATCTCCTGCTGTTCTGTTGTATTCTGTAAGCAGCAGGTATGCACTGTCAGAATACCTGAACAGTGAGTGCCAAACAAACGCATTCACTGTTCGGTTATGCTGACAGCGGCTCAGAGAATTTTCAACCCAGCTCCTTCGATTTTCTAATCAAAGGCTGTTGGGTGGGAGACTGCTGACAGGGCCATGCACTGAGTAATTGTTGTCTGGTTCATAAAGAACTGGCTGAAATTCACTCAGTGTATGGCCACCTTTAGAGAGTGGGGTACATTTAGTTAGCTTTGGTGAACAATGTTGTTCTGTTATTGGATGGGTGGTGAAGGCTTTCAATTTTCAATAATTGTTTTTAAATGTTTCTATAAATAATAAAGTAATTTGAAAAATGTGGGAATACTCATGTGGTGCCACTTTTTGTCCTTAATTATATTTTTGTGTAGAATGCCCCTTTAAATGACAAATTGTGGCCCCTTTAACACATCTTCATATCTCCTCCCCCTTTGTGTTAGTGTTTGCTCTGTGTATAGAGGCTAAAGGCTACGACTCCGGAAAGAGAGCGAAGTGCGGTAATGAACCAAAAACACACATAGTAGGACTTCACAGCTAAGAAAACGTCTACTGTCAGTACATCTCATCTGAGACTGACAATCAGACTTGTGTCATGAAAGGGTCTCCTTTATAAAAAGAAGAGATTTTGTCCTTCTCACAGACTGCACTATGCCTTTGTAGTCTGAATGTTAGGAATAGTTCAATGTATTAGGAGCCCCTTCAGATGCTATATCCAAGTACATAGTGAACTGTCAGCTAGAACGAGTACAGAGAAAGACACGTTATTCAGAATAATAGAGAGAGTGATATGACTCAAATATATTGTAGACAATGTCATTCTTGAATGAGCAGCTAGAAGTCCTGATCTGAAGACAGTTTCTGGAGTCAGACGTATATAGTGTATAGCCTGCAACAGTCAGAAAGAGGGAGAGAAAGCAAGTGAAAGCAAGTGAAAGAGCAAAAAGGATGGAGGAGAGAGAGAGAGAGAAAAAGAGCCGGGGTGAGAGGGAGAGAGAGAGTAGGGGAAAAGGGAGAGAGAGAAGTAGGGAGCGAAATCAAGTGAAAGAGTGAAAAGGGTGGAGAAAG